GGCCAGGAACCAACCACAGATGCCTTCCAAGAACCAACCACAGACACCAGACACAGACCATCTCCTCAGAAGCTGGCCACCGACCAACCACAGAAGCCGCCACAGACCAATCTCAGACTCCAATCATGGACCAATCACAGACGCCCGCCACGGACCAACCTCAGACACCTTCACGGACCATCTCCTCAGGCACCCACCACCATGTCCTGACCATCTCCTCAGATGCCCTCACGGACCATAGATCCGTCTCCCCAGCACCTGCCACAGACCCGGCTCCTCAGATGCCCGCCATGGACTGTCCCATCCCATGTGAAGCCCCGGGACCAGCCTGCCCATGGGTGAGGCCCAGGCCGCAGGCCCTCAGGTCTGGTCTTCTCAGGGCGCTGGGCCACCGTGGCGAGGCGCTGTGTGGCTGCTCCAGGCGCCTCACTGCGGGCTGGGCCACTCGGCCTGGTAGGGCGCTGCAGCGCGGGGCCCTGGAGGCTCAGCAGATCCACACTCCGGCCTCGGCCGCGCCCAGGGCCAGCCTCTGGATGGCGGGCAGGTGCCTGCTGGACTGTGTTCCAAAACCGCCCGGCCAGGCGTGTCAGTTGCACCCGCATGGGTGAGCCCGAGCCGCGCCCACCACCGCACGGCCCTGCCCCTCGGCCGGCCCTCCTGGGGCTTCCAGGCCATCTTTGTTCACTCAGGTGCTGCTGGTGCTGGGCCTCCTGCCGCTCCTGCGGCCATCCGAGCCACTGGCCGTGGGAACTAGGTTCATGGCTTCCTCTCTGTCCTTGACATGACCCCCTCGAGGCCTCTCTGGGGGACCGGCCTTTCCTCCCCGACTCCAGTCTCCCTTGGCGGAGTGCAGGGTGGCTTTGCAGGAGGCTGGTTGGTCTAGTTTTTCTCTTACTTTGCTTTTGGTGGCCTAGAACATGGCGCCTGCTCCACGGCAGAGGAAAGGTCTTCGTTCTCCAAGTCCTAGGCTGCCGGTCTCTGCACCAGGCCGGGTGATGGAGGGCCCCAGCCTCCTCCGGTCCACGCCCCTTGGTCCGTCCAGCCTTGCGGCTTGAGGAGTGGCCTTTCCTCCTGACTCCAGCCTCCGTGCCTGCCGCGCACCAGGCCCAGCCTGGCCCACCCTAGGCTGCAGACACAGGTGGCCCTCTGCCCTGCTTTTCCCAGGGCCATCCAGGCTGTGCAGCCCTTTGCTTCTCTTTGCCTAGATTTTGGAACTGGCTCATGGGGGTCCTGAAGGATCCCTGTCTCGGTTGTGCCTGGGGCCTCCTGCTCTGGGGAGGGACCTGTGTAGAGGCAGCACCCACAGGCCAAGGCCTCCCAGCTCAAGACCGGCAAACCTCTCCTGATGGTCAGCTGGCAGTCCGCCCGTGGAGCAGGATCACGCACCTCCTGGGTCCCTGGCCCCTTCCAGGAGGGGCACGGGTGGTACCGCTTTAAGTGGTGCCTTTCTGTGGCTCTGGGTGGGCCACGCATCCTGTTCTGGGCCAGTTCACTCAGGCTGCCGTCTTGCTGCGGATCCTTGACTTGCAAGGTCTTACTGCACCGCAAAACGCCTGCAAACTGTCAAAGCGTTGGGCGCCTTTTACTTTTAGAGGCCCCTCTCCAGACCAAAGGCCTCCCATTCTTTCCTCCCTCCACCTCGCATCTGCGGGGACACCTCCCCCTATCACAGGGACGATCCTCAGGGTAGCAGAGCCTGCAGCTCCTTCTCAGGCTGACCCAAGGTCCTCCCGCAGCCCGGTCTGAGCCGGAGGCCGCCCTTCAGCAGGCCCTGCCCCGCCGCCCAGGCTCTGCGCTACACCGGGACCCAAGACCTCAGCCGTGGGCTCCTGGCGGGCGGCCCCGCCCCGCCCCGCCTGCAGGTCCGCTCCGCCCTGGGCGGCCCCGCCCACCGGCCCGCGTCCCTCCGGGTGCTAGGCAACCGTGGGCCCGCCGGGCAGCGGCCGACTGACCACTGACTGTAGGCAGCGAGCGGCATCATGGATCTGGTCATCACTCATGAGCTGGCCCGCACCGAAAGCCACCAAGGTGGGCCCGCCCCCGCCTCGAGGAGACCCAGGACCCCAGACCCCTAGAGGAGAGGACCCAGGGACCCCTCTCCAGGGAGGCAGTGGACCCCGACCCTACACCTGGAAGGTCCGGGAAACGGCCACCAGGAGGGGAGCACCCCGCCCCTGACCCCGCCCCAGGAAACCCCTGGACCCGACTCTCTGGGAGGTGGAGACCCTGGAGGGCCACGGTTGGGCGGAGACCAGGACTTCCTCCCTGTTCTAAGCAGTGGCTGGCCCTTTGTGATCCTGCCCCTGACTACAGCGCTGGGGAGGCTCTGGGCGGCCTGACTAGGGTTCCAGGGAGTATGTCCCCGCCGGTCCCCAGGACAGGCCAGGGGAACATAGGAGAGCCAGGCCGGGGCTGTCCTCTTGATACCCCCACTTCCTGGCGGACCCTCTGCCCCGTAGACCAGGCCGCCCTGAAGCGAGCCTACGAGCTCATCAAGTCTGCCAACACGGGGAAGTCTGAGTTCGACCCCTCAGAGAGCTTCAGCCCGGACCTGTTTGTGCTGTGTGCAGAGCAGGCCCTCAAGGTGACTGGCCCCCAGCAGCTGGTGGGGAGGGCTCTGGGCTCATAAAGATGCAGAGGCTGATGGGTGCTCCTGGGGACCGAAACTCCGCTGGGCCTGCCCTGCTTTCCCTGTCTGCAGTCAAGGCTCCTCCACCCAGAGGGTCTTTCCTGCCTCATTGTGTCTTCTTGCAGATGGGGCAGCCAGAGATGAGCGAGGACTGCATCCAAATGTACTTCAAGGTGAAGGGGCCAGTCACCCAGTTTCTGGGCCGAGCACACCTGTGCAGGGCCCAGCTGTGTGCCCCTAAGTCGTCAGACAACCTGGTGAGAGGCCTGGTGCTCAGCAGCCTCCAGAAGCAGGGCAGGCTAGACAAGTGCTGAGGGGCTGGAGCAGAATGGAATTAAGTCTCCAAATTCGTTTTCACAGTGATGTCAACGTCCAGGGTTTTCTCAGGTGTCTGGTCCTGTGTGTGACCCTTTACCTTGGCGTGGTAGTGTCAGGGTCTTTCTGCCTTCTGCCCTTGCAGCTGTCCCTGAGCTGAGGGAGGGGAGCACAGGGAGGCCAGGTGCGTGACAGGTGCAGCTGCCTGTCTGCTGGGCCACTGCACGGGTATACGGTGTTCACAGAAGTGACCTGAGCAGAGCCAAATCGAGCTGTGCATTCTTGTGCCATTTCAGGAGGAATTTGAAAACTGCGTGACTCAGTACATGAAAGCTATAAACTTTGCAAAAGGGGAACCCAGGTAGGCAAGCTTGAACCCTTTTTCTAATGGATTGTGTGAAGACAGCCGCCAAAGATCGCCCTGTGGACCCATGTATTTGGACTGTCGGTTTCCCAGCCCTTTTCCTGTGTCTTGTGCTGTCAGTGGATTGATTTGTGGTGGTAGATGCGTCATGGCAGGTGCCGCCACCACATTCGTAGAAATCCCCACAGAGCCGCATGCTACTCTGGTTTCCTTGGCCTGCATGGGACCAGTCAGCGTCGTTCTCTGTGGCATCCCTCTGAGTGGTGCCCTGGCTCCTGGGGCCACCCTCTGTGTCCCCCAGTGGGCTGGCCATCCATGCCCCTGGACACCGAGTCCCCAGTTCCCACTCTATCGGTGCTTCCCACACCAGAGTAAGTGTGGCTTTGAAACCGGAGTCTGCACACAAAAGGGAATGCACACAGTCAGCTGGCGCCCAGCTGATTCCTGGTCCTCTTCCAGGTCAGGCAGGGTGGTGGCACCTCCCTCCTTGCTCACTGGTGCTCTCCACGTGGTTGTTCAGTGTGTGGAATGACGCCCAGAAAGGAGCCAGTGCAAACTGAGGAGCCCTGGCTGGGTCTTCCCCTGGTCTGGAACCTCGGCTTGCTCACAGTGGCTGCCACCCTGCCCAGGGATGGTTCTGCATCCTGATGCTCCTGAGGGGCCACCTCCATCAGCTGGAGGCCAGAGGCGTCTGCATCCCGCCCACAAGAGCACGGGGAGACGGGGCCCTCCTGTGCGCCCAGCTGCTCAGATCCCTCTGGCCGCAGGTACTACTTCCTGGTGTACAATGCCTCCGTGCTCTACTGGCACATGGTGAGGCCGTTCCTCAAGCCTGGATGCCACCAGTACGTGATCCCCAGCCTCTCCCAGATCGTGAGCGTGTTAAACCAGACAGAGGAGGAAGACAAGGAATGGCGGGCGGAGCTGATGCTGTGAGTCCAGGTGCCACTTCCCTGCCAGCCTCCCTGCCAGCCTCCCCGCCTGCCTCCCCGCCTGCCTCCCTGCCAGCCTCCCTGCCAGCCTCCCCACCTGCCTCCCTGCTAGCCTCCCTGCCTGCCTCCAGCCCCCCTGACTGCCTCCCTGCCAGCCTCCCTGACTGCCTCCCTGCCAGTCTCCCTGATTGCCTCTCTCCCAGCCTCCCCGCCTGCCTCCCTGCCAGCCTCCCCACCAGCCTCCCTGCCTGCCTCCCCGCCAGCCTCCCTTCAGAGCCCTACTTTCCCTTCCATACTGGGACTGGGTTTGCACCTCGGCAGAGGTTTGAAATCTATGGGTGAGTCTTCCTGGGGGTGTTTCCACAGAAAACAGAGAGGTACGTCTAGACTCAAAGTGAAGACAGTGTGGTCCTGGTGTGGTTAACGCTCAGCGTGGGAGACTTTCTCACAAATGCCTGAGCCATCGAGAGCCTGCGCATCTGCCAGGCAGCACAGGGGACAGACACGGGCTTGGCCTGAGAAGCCACAGGGGCAGATGGTCAGCAAGGCCTGGCCAGCACACCAGCTAGACAGAAACAGGGCCTGTGTCAGTGACTGGGCAGTTGTGTCCACAGGGTCCCACTTGTATTGACTGCGGAGATCCCCACTCAAGTCCAAGTCCGTGGCTGTGGGTCAGGGGCACCACTTGAGATCTTTGAGGTGCTCACAATGCCGACAGCTCCCTGGGCCCTCGGGAGGGTACAGTTCTCTCCCTCCCATGTGTGGGGCAGTGGCTCTCCCTCCTGCAGACCAGTTCCTGGCCACACTGTAGTCCTCTTTCTAAACTCTGCGAGACACACAGCTATGAGAGGAGGTGACCCAGGCCTGGCATTTGCACAGAAGGACGTTTCGGGAGGTTCAGTACCCACCCTCTCTGTTACCAAGGGAACTTCTTGAGTGTGACCTGCAAGCTGGGAAAAAGGAGGAGGCAGCCAAGCTTTGTTTGACGGCAGCGCCATTCATAAAAGCCAACGTGCCCCACAAGTATCGGCAGATATACTCCGTCATGGTGAGTGTACATGTTTAAAAACAGATATCAGCACTAGTTTCCCTGAAGATCATTGTTCAGAAAGCTATGCATGAAAACCACGAACAAGGCCATTAATTGAGAGTATAGACAGGTACGCTCGGGCTGGAGATGTGGCTCAAGCGGTAGCGCGCTCGCCTGGCATGCGTGGGGCGCTGGGTTCGATCCTCAGCACCACATAAAAATAAAAGATGTTGTGTCCACCAAAAACTAAAAAATAAATATTAAAAAATTCTCTCTCTCTCTCTTTTTTTTTTTTAAAAAAAGAAAGGTACGTTCACACCTGAGCAAAACAAAGTCATGGACGTTCACCTGAGAGCAGATGGACATAGCCATTATTTTTAAAAAAACAAAACAGGATCTTTGCCCTCATTATTTCTCTTTACATATTCCTTTTGTAACAGCATGGAATTTTTTCAAGTTTAACCAATAATTTGTAAAGGTATAAGTAATTACTATAGGATTGTGTCCCCGTAGCGTTAATTTTTATATTATTCATTGGCTATTAATTTTCAGGTATAGGGATCACCTTAAGTTATATATAAAAGCAATAAAACTTCAATGAGAAAATACATCTTAATTACAAGAATCGATTTTACAGGAAGAAGAAAATAATATCTAAGCACAAACCTGAATCATTACTTAATTACCTCCTTAGTCCAAGCTAATATCCTGTTCCATCTTATAACAGGTTCGTCATGAATTAATGGACGAGCTTCACTTAAAGATGGAAAAGAAAAATTCCATCAGCCTGTCAGTGTCTTTCCACATTAATTCCCTCAAAGCGTGAGTAGTCCCGAGGCAGCAAAGGCTAAGCTTTCCAGGGCTGAGCTCAGAAGCCTGCCCCGCCCACGGGAGTCCTGTGTCAGTGGGTGGGGGTCAGGGCTGCAGGAGCCAGAGGACTTGGGGCCCAGGGACTCTGCCTGCCGAGGACCGTCAGGCCACAGTGTACCTGGGTACAGAGGGTTGGAGAAGGCAGGCTAGGCAGCTCAGTGGGGCGTTGCCGAGGGGAGTCTGGCCTCCTCTCTTGTGAGGAGGAGAGGAGACCAGGGCTTCTGTGCCCGGTGGTCTTAGGTGAAGTGCTTCTCTGTCTTGGTGGCCCATGTAAATGTTTCCAAGGTGGGGTTTTTTTTGTTTTTTGTTTTTTTTCAGTGAAATAACTCCTAGAAGGTGAGGAAAGATGAGGAGTGAAAACCTTTCTGGGAGTGGTGGGTAGATAGCAGGAGGGACAGGCTCGGCCTATGTTCACTGGGAAATACAGGTTCATGGATTTAACATTTCCCTTAGAATAATAATATAATAATAAATAATAATAAATATCTGTAAGGATGCTTTGGTTATTTGCTCTCTGAATTAATTCTAGAAAGCTGGATAAAAATGAGTTACCGGAAGACGTCTCTTCGATTCTGAAGAGGGCCTACAGACAGATAGGTCTGTGTAACATCCAGCGCTTTCCTGCAATGACAGGAGAAAAGTGAGTGTTTGTGTTTCCAAGGTATAGTCTCTGGGATCTCTGTGCAGCGTTCAGAAAGTGCTGGAACACATGAAAAGATACAGAACAAGCAGCTAGAGGCACCTGCAAAAGCTAGCAGAGGTTTTAATGCATCTCTCTCTGGTCTGTCTTTCTTGAGGTTTGTGTTGTTTGGTGCACCTGGGATATGTGACCTCACATCCCACTTTGCAAAATTGGCACAGGCATTGCCGAGTGTCACAGCCTTTCACACGTGTCTGTATCCACCAGGTGGGAGAGCCCGTGATCCACGCGCATGGCGTCACAGGAGGCCCGTCTTTCCTGAGCACATCTGGAGCTCCCTGGAGCCCTCTGAGCACTTGTCCAGGGATGACTCCCAGGAGAGGTGCTGAGCCTGGGCAGCCCTAGGGCTCTAAAAACTTCTCCCCACCAGGGCAGGTGGCAGGGGTTTGGTCCCCCCATCCCCCAGCTGTTTGTGGCTCCCGATTAGCTCTTTGTGTTGGAGACAAGTGGGTCCGGGGGCAGATTACCCAGTTGCTCTGGTTTCATTTTCATGACTCTGGTCACCAGCACGGCTTAATATGCAGCCGCCTCTGTGGGCCTTTGCCTCACCTTTTGAGCCTCATCTTTTGGCTGGGGTCTTCTGAGACTCTTATTAACTTGCAGTCACCCCTAACATAAGCAGCCTTGTGACCCTTTGCCTGAAAACCACGGTTTGGGGTGTTTTTTTCAGTTTGCCATTTGATCATGGGCCCGGGGTACGGTATGTTGGACTGTGTTCCCCAGAAGGGTGCACCCAAGGCTTGGCCTCTGCCCCCACGACATATCTCATTAGAAGGACAGTCTCCGCGTATTTTAGTGAAGAGGAGGCACACAGAGTGAGGGTGGTCCTGCGTCCACCCTTGTTCCCTGTTAGGAAGAGGACAGTCCAAAGTGCTCCCAGCATGTGGCACTGGGTGGGACTGTCCAGGAAACTGTTAGTCATCTATGGCTGTGTGACAAATGACCACAACTCTGCAACTTAAAACAAGACGTGCTTGCCTTCTGGCTGTGTCCATGGGGCAAGAGTCCTGTCCAACCAAGAGCAGGATGTTGGACTCCTCAGGTCTTTGGGGCTGGACCAGGGAAGCAACACCTCCCAGCCCACTGGGTGCTGACAGTATCCTGTGCCCATGGATACCGGGCCGTGTGGCATTGCGTCTGAGTGCAGAAGGGTAAGAGTCAGCTTAAGATCAGGGTCGGACGCCTGCACAGTCCAGTGAGGACATCAGGTCTTCTCAGAGGAGGGCGCACTGGAGGCAGGACCAGGACCTGAGGTCCTGTGGCAGGAGACGGGCAGAGCAGAGGGCTGAAGTCCCCTTTTGCAGGTGGGCCAGGTCAGCAGTGGCTCCTGGGGGGAGCAGGTGCACACACACAGGTGTCCCAGGAGGGACATCCACATCCGTGGTCAGATTCTCTAAGGAGTTGTGGCTGGAGCCAGGCTATACTGGTCTGCTCGTGTCCCCCATGGGGTGTTTGTGGACATGGGGTGCTGGGTGCTCTTTGCCCAAGCTGTCTGACAGGCATGTGAGTGGCTAGTGCCCCCCCCCACCACAGGCGTGCTGTCTGTGCCTGTCTGCTGAAGAATGGCCTGCCACCACTTCACTCCTCATTTCTCTCGCCACTTTGAAATTGAGTGTGTTTTCTAAATATTTATAGGCATTTTTTTTGTTGTTAATTTCCTGTTCATTCTGTTTACCTGATGTTTTAAAAGTGGGTATAAATGAGTCCAATCAGACTCTAGGAGCCTTTTCTGTCAAAGTCTGGACTCTTCAGCTCCACTATGACTACCACTGCCCCTGTTCGCCACTTACTCTCTTAAGTTTCTTTATGGACAGAAATGTTGTATTTAATATGAGAGTGATTTGGACTGCTCTTCCCACCAACCTAGGGCCACACACTGTTTGGGGCCTTGGTGCGTATGTCCTTTCCTGCTTCCTGGGGTCCCAGACTAGATGCTCAGAGGGACAGCAGGTGGCCTTGCTATGGCCAGCCCTGCACCTGTGACAGGAAGGAAGGGTCTCCACCCAGCACGGTCCTGGACCTGCTGCCATGTGGACTGCTGATTTGGGCACCACATCTGGTAATGCAGCCACAACGTCTCCGTGTGAACAGGTAGGGTCTCCCTGGGATCCAGTGTGTGACCTGTGTCCTGCAGTCAGCCCTGGGGGATGTGGTGTCTGCAGGCTGAGGTACCACTTGCACTGCCAGCACAGCCTCTTGGGGGTATCGGTCCTTCCCTGAAGCCCAGAGGGCGTGGAGGCTTCTGGACACGCTGCAGGCTCTGCCGAGTCCCCCTGGGCTTGTGTGTCTGGAGTTCTGGGCAGGGGGGTCCATTCTGTTTGTTCAAACTGTGTGGTTACTGAAAACCAGTAACCAACCCTTCAGTTTTTCTCCTCTTGACTCATGCAGCTGGCCTCTGTGGGTGACTGCGAGTGCTTGACCGTGGGAGGGAGGACTCTGCTCCAGCACCCAGGCATCCTCCCTGCAGCACCCCCCTCCATACCTGCTCCTACCTGCCCCTTGCCTGTCCGTGTGGAGGTGGCAGCACCTCACTGGGGCTGTGCTGCGAGGCATTGGTGACACCAGTGTAGGCTTGCTGCAGGTGTGCACTCGACTTGAAGACCTGCGGAGGCTGCACTGGGAGGCCACTCGCTGCAGAGAGCAGCCTGGGTCTGGTGGCCGGCTGGCTGGGGCCTGTCCAGGACTCATTCATGAGCTAGTTGATTTCCTTGTTTTATTTCTTATTTCACTTTTCCCCAGTTGTGCTGGAATAGGGGCTGGCTGTCCACCTGCCCCATCCGTGTGCTCTGTCCCTGTTGACCCAGTGCCCATCTGCTTCTTTCCAGAATGCTTTTGCTTTTTGAATTAGCTCGTTTCGCTCTGACCTTGAAATGTGAAGACATCACCTCTGACTGCCTCTCAGACCTGAAGAAAATGGACAGCAAAGTGAGTGGCTTGGTGACAGTCGCTCCCTGGGCTCTGCGCAGCACGGGGGGCTGAGTGTGGGAGCCGCGGGGATGGTACGACCCTGGCCATTCTGGGTTCCCCCTTTTTTCACACTCAGCTGCCCCTCACGTGAGGGCTGTGTGACATCCCACGTGGAGCACAGCCTTGGGTCCCTGCCCCTGCCAAGGGACGGTTCAATCATATGTGATTTTGTGCTCACTTCACAAAGGGCTCTGAGGGACATTTTGTGTCTAAGCCTTTTTTTGCATTGAGGGTTTTCCCTGAGGTAAGTTGGCTGACTAGGGCCCCGAGGACTCTCGCTGCTGAGGTCTTGTAATACAACATTGCCCTCCAGGGGATGTTTCAGAGGGTGCACCCTGGCTGTCAAGAGAGCGCGCTGGGGTTGCTCCCTGCCTCCGGACAGTGTGGAAGGGCAGAGGACAGCTGTGCGGATGGTGTGGTCTTGGACTCGTCCCTTCCCACCATCCTCACTGAGCACAGGCTGTGGCTTGGTCCCGAGTTACCTTGAGTGAGACCCCCTTGGCCTCAGGAGTTATTACCAAATAAAGCTGTGAGACATGCAGACAAAAGAAACGACTTCTTTAGCAAAGAGCAGTCGACTCTTCTCCTGGCTGCGGTGATCTGGAGACAGTTTTTGAAAAGGAGATGAGGCTTCCTGTGGACCCGACAGTCAGGTCCACCTGGGCAGGACCAGCTTAGCCTGGGAGTCAGTTGTTCTTGAAGCGGTTTGCCGAGTTCTTTGGTGGGCCTCATACCCACCTTTTGGGTTTCCATAATGTGGGGGCCCAAACTCAGCATTGTCATCCAACACTGGATGGCACCCGAGTTCCACCCTCACCAGCTGAGTAGCCTTCCTGCTCCCCCAGAGCCTCTGTTTCTGTCTCTACAAGACAAATCTCCTAGAAGTGGAACCCAGGCTTTGAGCACAGAGAGGCAGGGTATGCTGCCCAGCCCTGGTCTCTCTCCAGGATCCCTGCTCCACAGCCCCCCGCCACCTCAGGCCTCTTCTGATGCCGTGGTGTGTGTCTGCAGGCGGACTGCAGGGTGGGGAGCAGTTCCCACTCTCACCAGCCAGGCACAAAACCTCAGGTCCTGGAGACTCCGGCGTTTGTCCCCAAAGTGAGGAAGCTATCCCTAGGCTGCATACTGCTCGGGTCATGCATAACAAGCCTGGGACACAAAAATAAAGGGACAGACTCTTTCTGAGTGGTGTGATTGGATACCAGGACAAATCTCAAAGACACAGAATACAAGAGTCCACAGCACCCAATAATGTGAACTTGACAATGCCTGGCATCCGATAAAGAACTGCCAGACACCCCGAGAGGAAAAGATGAAGAGAATCACCAATCAAAACCCCTCAACCAAGAAACTTTGCCGATTAGTGGACACAGACACCGAAACAGTTATGATCGTATTCCAGGTGCTCAAGAAGGTAAAAAGTTTGAACTTTTATATTAAATAGGATCAAGGAAGATAATTCAAACTCCCAAACAGAATTTCTAGAGCTGAAAACTCTCTCAAATGAAGCTACACTGGATAGAGTTTAAAACAGGTTAGACATTTTAGAATAAAAGATTAGCAAACCTGAAGGTTCTGTAATGGAAACAGAATGAAACCCAGGAAGGAGAAATGTGGAGAAGAAAACCTTGCCCATGAGTGGGGCTGGGCAGCTTCCCGCTGAGTAATAAACACGCCACAGGATCCCCGAAGGAGAGGAGAGAAAGGGCAGCAGGAAGGTGCTTGAGGGGTTAATGGCCAAAGATACTGAATCTGATCCTCTTCAAAAAAGATGTTCTGTTCTGAGGAACTGAAGTTGGGATGACAGCAGATTTCCTGCTGCAAGCAATAAAACCAGAAGACAGAGATCATCTCTAAATACCCAAACAAGAGGCATCCACCCTGAAATCTGCACCCAGGGAAAATACCTTCAAACTGAAAACAGAGATTCCTAAGATTTATTAAGATAACCAGAAGCCGAAAAAGTTTGCCTTCCACTTCCAGAAACCAAAGGAAGTTCCTCAGGCAACTGGAAGACGGTACCTGAGGGAAAGTTGGGTCTGTGCAGGGCAAGGAAGGGCAGCAAAGGGAGCCAGCCATCTGGAGAGGCCGGCAAGGCTGTCCGGTGGGATTCTAGGCAGGGGCACTGGGCCTGCGGCAGCCGTGGCCCGAGGGCAGGAGGGACTGTGCTGGCCAGAGCACTGTGCCGCTCACCCAGGGACTGCACAGCCAGGACTCTGCGAAGCTGCCGTGTGCACGAACGTCTTGAGAAGGCCACCGGAGCCACACTGGCAACAGGTACAGCTGGGGACCCAGCAATGCAGGTGGAGTGGAACCACGAAGGAGAGTCAGTGGATACAAACAAGACGGAAGAAGAGAAAATGGAATTAAGAAAAGGAGAGATGAGTAGGAATGTGTGGCGTGGCATCAGTAGGGTCTGTCCCCTGAACCCAATCATGTTGTGATGACAGTAAGTGCAAATGGCCCAATGCCAGGGACAAGGCGAATACCACCATCCTGGGGAGAGCAGGTCCTGTCCATGCTGCTGCAAGAAGCCCATGTCCAGCGTGAGGGGAGGCAGGCACCTCTCACCAGCATACGACGCCTGCTGACACTGGGGATGTCACTGCCAGTGATGAGAAGACGCTGGCCACAGAGAGAAAAGGCGACAGGCGACAATCCTCAGTGCTCATGTACCTAGTCGCACTTGCAGTGGTACTTTGGACATGCAGGGATTGTCAGACTGTGGGGACATCAGGCTCTGATTCCAGAAGCCGAGCCAGCATCTGCGAAGTCCCCTCTGCAGCCGAGCCCACAGCAGGTGGGCACGGGGTGAGGTTTCCTCCGCCTGCTCCCTGAGCTTTTGTGTCTGGGGAAGGTGTCCAGATTCTCGGATGTGCCTTGGCTCCGTCGTGCGGTTCTCCTCTGGGGGCTTCTACCTGGCGTGGCGGTGGTGTCTTAAGTGGTCTCAAAGTTGGCGAATGTGTGGATTGGCTTCGTCCTGTTTGTTACAGGACCCCGGGAAGCTGATTGAGATTGAATGCCTGGAGTGTGAACTCGAAGCCTCCAGACTTGAAAATAAAGTGAGAATCTACCTCCGGACAGCTGTGGAGGTAGGTCTGAGCCCAGAGTCATGGCGCACGACGCTCTGATCTGTGGCTCCCCAGGAGAGCCAGGTGTGGGCCAGGTGGTAGGGCACTGGGGAGGCACCTGGTCCCCGTGCTCACTGCCCTGGCTCTGTGCTGGTGCCCAGGTTGGGTGCTGCCAGCTGTGCCTCACCTCCCCGCCATGAGTGGGTGAGGGCTCAACCTTGGGTTCCAGCATTGGGCCTGGCCACACTGAGCTTCCAGAGCTGGCCGTCTTCCTCCCTGCACTGAGCCTGGGACACACCAGCCCTGGCAGAGTCCACCGTGGCCCCAGGGACACCTTGGCCTCCCTGGCGGTTGGAGGCTGGGATGTGACTTTCTAAACCCCAAGTTCTTCTGTCCTGTGTGGAACTGCCGTGTCCCCACCAGGGCTTGCCAGGGGTGACAGCTTCCACATCCCCTCCAGGGCTTGTCTGGGTGACAGCCTCCCCATCCCCACCAGGACTCTTTGCAGCCTCTGTCCTGTCCAGGGGCCAGCAGTCAAAGCCACCCCCTGCCTCAGTAGGGGCCTGGCTGGCCTGGAGACCTGAGGGATGGTGCTGTGGAGTCCCTGGGCAGGATAGGGTTGGGTGTGGCTCTGTCCCCAGAGGACCCTCACTGCCCTGTTCAGGCAGGGGGTGTGGAAGCCTCAGTGGGTGCTGTGAGCCGACCTCAGGCTCCTGTGGCTGCTCAGCAGCAAGTCTGAGGTCTGGGGAAGCCCCCGCTGCCACAGAGGTGTGGCCTTCACTCAGGCTGCTGCTCCGTGAGAAGGCCTCCGACTGTGCTCCCTGTGAACGCTGAGGTGGGCCCAGGTGCTTATGGGAGGGGCTCAGGGACCCCCCTCCTGCCGCCAGCACCTGCAGGCGTCCCTCTGGGAGACCACAGCTGCACTGGAGGAGCAGAGCGAGGGGAGGCCAGCACAGGACGGGGGGCACCTCACTGCCTGCAGGCCTGGTTCCTCCATGATCTGCCTGTGTGTCTGCCCGGCAGAGCTGAGCTCCTGAGGGACTCGGTCGGCTGCTGGCCGACTGCCATGTGCTGGGGTCTGGGTGTGGGGCCAGCTATGAGTGCCCACAGGTCCTAGTGACCTGTGATCAGGGCAGTGAGTGTGGCCCTGTGGCCTGCACAGCTGTGCCCCTGCCTGCCTCCAAGACGTCAGGGCGTGGCTTCCGTTCATGAGGTTGGGACTCTGGCTTGGGTCTGGGCAGCCAGGACAGGGTAGTGAGGCCCCAGTATTGGCTCCACCCTCAGCTCAGGGCAGGTGAGGGCGTGGCCCCGGCTGGGGGTGGGGGGATTCTGGAAGGTTCAGGTGACCTGGCCCGGTGGGTCTGTGGAAGGCTCAGAGCTTCTGCTCGCATCTGACCCCACACCTTCCAGCCCTCCCGGGTTGTGCTGTGGAGGGCCTGGTAATGGCAGCACGCTTCTGACCTTCCCGGAAATGCCCGCTGTCCCCAGGCCCAGCTGAGCATCATTAGCCGACTGGACGTGGTGCTGCAGCGTGCCATCCGCCTGGGCGACCCCCAGGCCATCCACGTGGTGTGCAGCACACAGTGGAACACCTGCCTGCCCCTGCTGCAGCGCGGCCTGCGGCGCCACCTGCGGAAGCCACTGACCACCGTGGCGGACATCCTGGAGACGGTGGACAGGTGGGCCGGGGCTGGCCCTGGACACGGACACTGGTAGGATGGGTGGATGTTCCTGCCTGGGCGTGGGGAGCCCGCCTGCTGTGCTCACTGGGCAGTGCCTCCTTTCTCCATGGGATGAGTCCTGAATGCTCGCCTCATCCACCTTGTGTCAGCTTGATTTGTGGCCATGAGCAAGAGACCTGACAAGAACCTGGTTTCAGAGGTTCAGTCCACACAAAGGCCCCTCGGTAGCTCTGAGCCCGAGTGGGGCAGACCATCATGGGAAGAGAGCGGAGGAGGAAAGCAGCTCAGGACAGCCAGGGAGCAAGGCGCGCTCTCAACATGGACAAAGTGACAAGTACAGACCCCAGAGGCACGCCCAGGGACCCCCTTCCAGCCACAGCCCACCTGCCAGGCCACACCCCCCATTAGTCCATTCAGGTGGCGCCTTCCACTGGCCACGTCCAGGGTCTCACCACCTGGTCAGCCCACCTCTGATGGTCTTTGCATTGTGTCACCCATGGGCTTTAGGGGACACTGTCTACCTAGACTACAGCACAGCTACAGGAGGACAGTGTGGGAATCTGTGAAGCATGCTCAGGGGCTGGCCAGCTGTGGGAAGGGGACTCCAGGACACCCTCCTGGCGGCCGTGCTGGTGGGGGCACACCCAGTGCCCACACAGCTCGGGCGTGTCCAGGGGTGCGGCTGCCTCAGCCTGGGACCTGTCCTCCTTGGAACACAGGCTATTGCTGTGGTCATGCTCTGCTCCTCCGCAGGGACCCCTTCTCACCCCTCAGGCCAGTGGGGAGCACCTTTCACACGCCTATGAATACAGCCGGTCTCCCCACAGATGAGCTGCTCAAAGCTCCCGTGTGTCAGTTTGACTCCCAGGTGGTGAGCTGGAAGGGATTTAAGGAGCGCTTTGCAGAGGAATCTGGTTCTGGAGCTCACCCACAAAGCCCCTGGGCCGGGCTGCTCTCCGTGTGTCATGGCGGAGGCGGGGGCAGTGCTGAAAGCCCGGGGAGGCTTCCCACTCTTCCCAGAGTCCCCACATGGGCTGCTGATTGTTCCAGGGGGGTGTTCCACTCCCAGGCTTCATGCCGAGAGCTTTGCTTTCTGACCCCCGGCTCTGGCAGGTGCCTGGCCTGACACACTGTCTGCTGTTTGTTTCCCACCTGGGACTCTGATCCTATTTGTTTACTTAAATTTAAAGTGCAAGGCATTTTAAGAGCATGTCTCTTAGAAGGCAGATGGTCAAGTCTTGCTTTTCCGTCCAGTCAAGCAGTGCTTTCTTTACTTCAGTTCTTTGTGGGGCTCTCTAGGAGACGCAGAGGTGTCAGATAATGCTTCTCATGGCTCTGGAGGCCGGCCATTTTCTCTCTCCTCCTTTCCCCCTGGGGCCCTGGGCGTCCACCTGCCAGGCCAGCCACCCTCAGCTCCCCGGGCCTGCCTGTTTTCCCAGCGCCTCGCCCTCTGCTCTTCTGATGAGGTGACTTCCGTCGCCCTTTAAGTGCTCACAGGCTTTCCCCGCCCTCCCCATTCTGCTGCCTCGCACCCGGAGACCTTGTTTGACTTGTCGGGGTTTTAGACTTAGAATTCCATTTTGTCAGTTCCATTTCTCTTCTGAGATTCTTTACCTGTTCTCATGAATCCTGCTTTTCTTGATTGGTGGACATGTTGTTGGTGTCTACCGTGATAGCTGCTGTACAGGGTTCTTCTGCCTCTGTGCTCTGTGTCCTGGGTCACATGCTTCCCTCTCATCACAGGTCCGTGGGGAGCACTGGACGGTAGGCTGCAGAGCCACCACACTTTGTTGTCTTTCTTGGAGAAGCGTCAGACTTTTTTTCCTGGTTGGCAGTTCAATTGTTGTGGGGTCATGCTCTCCAAAATGTATGGCATTTTGCCTGGGAGCAAAAGTGGGGGTCAGTGTGCACACACCTCCTTGAGGCTTGGGGCAGGTGCTTGGGGGGACCCAGCTGCTTGGGGGGACCCAGCTGCTCAGAACCCAGCATGCTGACCTTGGTCTCCTAAGCTCAGGACACTGCAGGTCCTTCTGCTCTGCCACCACCCTGGAGGGAGCTGGACTGTCTTCCACATGTTCTGAGTTTCTTCCTCCCTGGACTGTGGTTTTGTGCTGCCTGGAGTCTGGCCCTGGAAAACACTGCCTCCTGTGTTCCGTCCAGTTTGTGGGTGCTGTGGTGCTAGAGGGTCATCAGGAGTTACTTCGTAGCAGTTGGAAGCAGAAGTACCCACAGCCCCTGATCTGCAGGCCTTGCTGCTGCCTGCCCTGCTGTGGAGCGCTGGGCTCCAGATGCCCCCTCCGTGGCTGTGGCGTCTGCGTTTGCCCCCAGGGTGCCTCCTCTGCATGGCTTCTGGCTACCTCACCAGATTCCTGGGCCACCAGCTCGAGGGGAGTCCCTGGGGTGAGTGCGCTCGGGACTACTGCTGTCGGGTGAGGTACTGCCCAGCATGGAGTCCACTCCTGCTGCAGTCACCTCCTCACCTTCAGTCCTTCCCTTGGGGACATCATGGCACCCTGGTTCCCGGGCGCTGTGGAGCCCCAGCACCACACCTGACACCACAGGCACTCTGCTTCTCTGCACAGGCTTCTCTGCAGCATTCCTTGTCTCCTCTGATGTCACATAGGTTCCGGTCACTTGTACTTCTCTGTCTTCAGGGAAAGTCCCGTGGGGTCTTTATTCAGCAGTCTATTGAGTGTGTCAACGTTGCACCTCGGGGCAGTGGCTGAGGTGGCCCTCCATGTGCTGTTGGTGGCAAGGGCTTTGCTCAGACAGAAGGGCCTCTCTAGGTGGCCCCCTGCCCGGCCCCACCTGGACCCAGCTGCAGCACAGGACTTGGCAGGTGGACAGAGAGTGTCTAGAAGAACCTGAGCAAAGACCATAGACTGCAGGTTGGAGGTGGGCAAATGGGGCTGTGTCCCACTCGCCCGGCAGTGACATCAAGCACCCTCCAGCAGAGGGGTCCTGCACTCTCCAGCCCCTCCCTGGTGCTTCCACACAGCATCCCCGCAGGCAGTAGCCCATGTGCCCCCTGCTTCCTCCTGCAGGAGCCTGGGTGTGGCAGCTCTTGCCAGCCGGCTCGGAGGTCTCCCGTGGTCTGCAGCGTTCACCTCTCTGTCCCCTCCATGAGTCCTCAAGGTTAGGCAGGTGTAACTGGAAGGAGGCCAAAGAGCCAGGGCCCCTGGGAAGCCATGCGCCTCCCTGCCTCCCACGGAGTGTGGAACAAGCCCTGCATGCCTGAGGACAGCCCGGCCGCCCCCTGATGCATGCCACCTCTCCCCCAGCCTCATGACTCTGCTCCGCTGCCAAGTGCACATGGAGATGGCGCACATCGAAGAGGACGAGGACCGGCTAGAGCCTGCCATGGAGCACCTGCAGAAGGCCATGCGCCTGGACACACTGGGGCTCTACCAGGACAAGCTCAAGATGGCCTTCACCCGGCTGCAACTGTGCACCATGCTGTACCAGTCTCCTGAGCGTGCTGAGGACAGGGCCATCATGGTCATCGAGCAGGTGTAGACATGGCCACCTGGGGGAGAGCTGTGGCTGCCCAGGGAACCCAGGGCCAGGCTAACCCAGCATGAATACAGGCTGAGGTGCAGGGCACCAGGAGGGACTGCCCAGGGCCCACCTGATGGCAGAGGCCAAAGGGGACTGCTCAGGGCCCCCCTGATGGCACAAGCTAGAGGGGCTCTGGTGCCAACAGGGCAGGGGCCACTTAGGCAACCTGCTCTTTTCTTTGTAGGCAAAAAAAGCTATCCCGAAGGACAGCGTGAGAAAGAAGCGGGCCCTCCTGGTGAATGCGGGCCTGGCCCTGGCCCCTGACACTTTCCAGATTGTGCTGGACAGCGAGAATGAAGCCAAAGGTGAGCACCTCTCTCCACACCAGGTCTGGGGGTCGCCTGTCTTAGGAGGGTCCTGGCTGCTGGGGAGCCTCTGGGCCCCCTGCTGTCTCCAGGCTGACCCCTGACAAAGTGAGCCCCACAAGCCTGCACCCTGAACCCGCTGCACTCTGCCACCTGCAACAGGATACCTCACTCTCTCCAAGCACTGGAGGGCTCATCCACACTCACGGCCACAGCAGAAGGCCACAGCCAGAGTCCTAGGTGGAGCTGAGGCAGCATGGCCCACTGCCTGGCTTGTAGGTGGTTTTCCTCTGCCGTCCTGACTGCTCCTCTCTGTCTGATGCTCTCTTCTCATGGGGCGTGGTCAGATTGATGGGGCCCACCTGAGGCAGCGTTCCAGGTCCTGAGTTCCAGAGTCAGGACACAGCCTCTGTGGTCCAACACCAGGACCATGTGTGGGTCCTGGGCTGCCCCTCCATATTAGTGATCACTCTGGTCAGCCTGGGCTGACCCCACTCACCTCAGCCACGGGCCTCATCCCCAAGGATTAACCAGTGTAGGTGATGGGGTGCACAGCAAACCTCCCCAAGGCAAGCAGTGAGTGGGCTAGGAGGGGCCCGTGGTGCCTGCCCTGTGTCCCAGCTCCCCTGGAGCAGCCAGGCAGCCTGAGCCTGGCTGGGGCGCCTGGTGTCCTCTGGAGGTTCTCTCAGCTCCATGCTCTGACACCAGGTCACACAGGGACTGGAGCCTGGGAGCAGTGGTCTGGAGGGGGCCGGCAAGGTCCGTATATCATGTCCAAGAGGAGGGAGAGGAGAATGGGGTGGGGTCACAGCCCAGGAGGGGTGCCGCCTGTCTGCTACGGTTGTCCCCCTGGTCACCTCCTTCCTTGGTTTCATTTTGTTCTCAGGAGACTGAGGAGCAGCTGTAGGTCTGTTGGTGTCACCTATGCACATCTGTGTGGCATTCCAGGTTTATCACACTCAGCATGATCTGCTGGCAGCCTGGGGTCAGGTGCCCTTCACCTGAGGGGCCCAGTCAGCACCCACTACCAGCAGGAGGAGTTTTGCACCCTGCTGAGGTGCAGGGGCTCCTGGGGAAGGAGGGCAGAGCTGGCTCCTGGAGTCTTCTGTGCCGTCTGACAGGGCAGGGGGTCAGCCCAGGGGAAGCCCATCCCTGAGGCCCAATCTCCTGCCCAGACGTCTCCGGTGCCAGAGACAGGCTAGTGTCCTCTGGGTCCCCAAGCAGCTACCCTGGGCATGCAGCTCAGTTCTAGGTGCCCCTTTTTTATTTGTCGGGAAAAGGAGCCGTGGGCTCAGAACTTCCTACTCGAAGCAGATAAAAGTACTTGGCTTTGAGGGACCATGGGGCTGCTGGAGGGACCAGGGTTGAGAGTTGGGGCAGAGCCGATGCTTCTGATGGGAAGATTGGCTGGTTGGCCCAGTCACAGAGTGGGTGGCAAGGAGGGTCAGGCGGGATTCCCAGACCACCTCTGCCCCTCCACACCCAACATGGTCAGCTCGACTGACTGTCAGAGGACACAGCAATGCGCACCAGCTCCGCACAGACTCAGCCCCAGGAGCCAGCTGCCGCAGGGCAGGTGCCACGGTCTGCTGTTATCACCAGCGTCCCCATTGAACGCAGCTGCTCTTCCTGTCCCCCTTTCCTCAGCACATGATGTCGACCCTCACAGTTTGCTTTCTGTCTCAGTTTCCACTGGGAAAACCAGGGGCAGATTCTCCTACCTCTTCGCAAAGGCTCGACATCACATGCTTAGTGTGGACAAGGCTGCTGGGCATCTGCGGCGTCTGGGAAACGAGAATGACCAGGAGAGGTGAGCAAGGAAAGGGACTTTTCTGGAGAACAGAAGCTCAAAGCCGAGCCTAGTAAGGAGGGCCTGTTGGGGCAGAGGACATGCTCCTGGGAGGAGGTGGACCTGGGAGGAGGTGGACCTGGAAGGGCATGCACCTGGAAGGTGGTGTCCCTCTGGGAGGAAGTGCACCTGGGAGGATGTGCCTGGGAGGAGGTGCTCCTGGGAGGAGGTGGACCTAGGAGGAAGTGCTCCAGGGAGGGCATGCACCTGGGAGGAGGTGCTCCTGGGAGGGCGTGCACCTGGGAGGAGATGGACCTGGGAGGATGTGCTCCTGGGAG